TGCGAACAGCATCAAGCATTGGAAACGATCTACATGGTGCCGACCTCGCAATGGAGGCGGTTGGGAGCTCATCGAAGACAATGTCGATGGCAATACAATGGTGCGTTTGGAGAACTCGTGGATTGACGTGGTCGTGTTTCACCACCCACCAGGGGTGTTCGATGACTCCGGGAGGGGAGCATACATGAGCGTTCACGTCAAGTTGACCCCAAACAAGAAACTTCGGGATGTAAGGGATGATTTTGAAAAGCCTTTGAATCCAAAAGTTGAGATGAAATCCTCAGAACCCAAAAGAATGTATGCAGTGAAGTCGAAGCCCCAGCCAAAGGTCTTGACGCCCAAGTTGGAACAGGATGATTCCGATTCTTATGAATATGACTATGAGTATTCTCCCACTGGTTTCATGGCCGTGCGTTTTGATCCCAACGTTGATTTGACAGTCCATCCTGATGAGAGGAGGACTATGAGAAAGAAACACAGGAAGATGGTATTGGAAGGTATCAACAATCTCAACAACCATGATCGTGTGATGCAATCCAGTCTTGGGATGCAGCCTCAAATTTCCAATGGAACTTCAGGGGTTGCAGTCATCACGTCACACCCGACTCTTTTCCAGGATCTTTTTGAGCACACCTATGACGTCGGTGTGAATGCCGCGTATTTGGACGGCGATGCTGAGCCACGTGGTTGGAGTGACATGTTCGAAGGTTGCACATTGATCATTGTTGCAATTGAGTACAGTTCAGAACATTATCCACTGTGTCATGGGGATCTTGTATTTGAGTTGGAACAGTATTGTGATGCCACAGGGTGTAGATTTCTCATTGTTGATGTCGCGCACACTGAACGATGGGAATCATTCAAAACACCACAGATTCCATATATCAACGAAGTTGGTCTTGCTTTTGTGTCAAATGATGATGAACTCATTCAAGGTTTTCAAGACTGGTCTATGTATCGACAATTGGATGACGTTTTGAATTGGGAGTTTTGTCAATGGATTCGTGATTGGTCACTTGAGCGTGAATTGGAGGATCAGATGAGCGTTGCTTTCCCAGCAGAGACCATTGAAGAGGCTCAGGAACATGGTGGGAACTGGGATGCAGTCGATGGCCCAGAAGATGTTGCACTGCAGGATCCGGTTGAGGACCTGACACATGAAGAGACTCTTTTAGATGATGTTGATATCCCTGGTTTGCCAGAGGATGAATCAGAAAGACGTAGGTCTTGGCGTAAACTTCCCCAGCGTGTCAGGATTGCTGTGCGTAGGTTGCACAGGGCTTTTGGACACGTCCCCAAGTCGGTGATGGTCAATTTGGTGCGTGCTGCAAAGGTGAGCAAGGAGTTTGTTGATGCAGTAAAGCTGCATAGATGTGAAACATGTGAGAAAACATCAGCAAAGAAACCCACTCACAAAGTTACGCTTCCAAGTGATTATACATTCAACCATACTTTGGGGATTGATGTACTGGAGTTGACAGATGTAACTGGGCAGAAGTATCAAGTTCTCAACATGGTTTGCATTGGTACTTGTTTTCAACAGGCTGAAGTCGTGAAGGTTGGAGCAGGCCAAGCTTCTTCGCGATCCTGTTTGGACGCACTTATCAAACGTTGGTTCAGTTGGGCAGGACATCCTGTTGCTATCATGTGTGTCCGTGGATTGCACAATCGTGGTGTCTTGCAACAGTACATGGATGAACACAACATTCAAGTGCACCATGTGCCCCTTGAGAGCCCAGAATCATTGGGCCGAGTAGAGAGGCATGGTGGTTTGTTGAAAGCTCTTTTCAGGCGAGTGTGTACAGAAGTTGGGGCTTGTACCAAAGAACAGGTTGAGTCGTGCATCACACAGGTGCTCAGTGTGAAGAACGACTCTGCACGTGTTGGAGGTTTTTCTCCATCTCAGTGGGTGCTTGGTCGAGCTCCCCGTGGTGTAGCTTCACTCATGTCTGAGGAAGACCATGCACAGCTCGGAGCCATTCAGGCCCGACATGATCCTTCATCAATTTTTGCATTACAACATTTGGCCAGGATTGAGGCACAAAAGGCATTTGTTCATCTTGATTGTTCAAGAAGAGTTCAGAGAGCGTTGACACGCAATGCCAGTGTGTTTGACCGTGAGTTCAACATTGGTGATCTCGTCACTTTCAGACGAGACAATCAACGAGGAGGAACGTCCTGGTCACCAACATGCCGTGTGATCGGACACGAGAACCAGAAGAACATATGGTTACTATGTGGTAACGTTCCAGTACTTGTAGCTTCTCACAACATACGCATTGCTTCTCCTTCTGAGGCTCTTGCTCAATCAGTGTTGAATGGTGAACCTGTGATTCCATACAAGATCATCAATGATACAGGTCAACAAGCGTTTCTTGATGCAAGGCAAGCAGATGAGGTTGAAGTTGTTCGTGAAGGTCCAGGACAAGCAGACGATGTTGAAGTTGTCCATGAGGACAATGCACTTCCCCCTATACCAGAAGTACCTGAAGATGAATGGGACATACGGCCCGGTTTCTTTGAAGAAGATGAGGAGGAGGAAGATACAGGTCCAATGGAAGAAGACATCTTCTCACAGAGTAGAACCCCAGAGAGAAGAGTTGAAAGGCCACATCCAGGAGATGGAGGTCATGAACGCAATGTGAGACCTCGAGTAGAGTCTCAGTTACAACCTGAGTCGGAGAGAGGCTCATCACTTGTGCCATCTCGAAGAGACTCCTTTGTGCCTGATCTTACTCCAAGTGGCTCCGTTTCGGGGGCGCCACCTTTTAGTAGTTCAGTTTCAGGTGCATTAGCTTCATCGTCAGCGTCATCTTGGCCATTGCGAAGGGAACTTTTGAATGACTTACCACATCAATTGCGGACACATCTTGAAAGAGCTCGTGAGAGAGACTCAGAACGAAGTCCTGAAGAACGACAAGAAGCACGAGCATTGTTTGCATCATTTTTGTCCCAGGAAGTTGATGGAGTTCCTGAGGACGAGGAGCTAGGCAAGAAAGTGTTGAAATCAATCCACTATGAATCAGCGCCACCTGATGTACAGAAGAACATCATGGATGCCAGAACCAAGGAGTGGAACAAGTTCCTTGAGTTCGCTGCTGTTGTTGAAATTTCAAAAGAAGATGCTGAGAGGTTGATTGCTGAAGGGCATCAATGTATTCCTAGCAAGTGGGTTGATGTTGATAAGAACCAATTTATGAAAGGAAGAACAGACCAAGAATATGTGCCTAAGTTCAAAAGCCGGTTGGTGTCATGCGGCAATTTCGAAGTCAGTGAAGGTCTGAGATCAGACAGTCCTACAGCAGACACAGAAGCTCACAACATTCTTTGCTGTTGGGCGGCGATCCAGGGTGCACACTTGCACAGTGCGGACGTCGCATCCGCATATTTTCAAGGTCGTCCTCTTGACAGAGTCCTCATTATGAGACAACCCCGAGGAGGTCTCCCGGGAGTTGATCCAGAGGTGTTTTTCCTTGTGAGAGTGCCTGTGTATGGATTAACTGACAGCGGTCGAGGTTTTTGGTTGAGACTGGACGGAGATGCCCGATCCAGTGGCTTGAAACAATCCAAGTTTTACCCAGGATTATATTTTCTTCCGGGAACAGATAAAGATTGCGTTGCACTTATGGCGACTCATGTAGATGACATCTTGTACGCATACATTCCCGAGGGAAAGTCAGTGATCGACAGCTTCTTGGAGAAGTTCAACTTGGGATCTAGTGAATCAAATTCGTTTCGCTATTGTGGCAAGCAATTTGAGCGCACTGCAGATGGAACAATCACTCAAGACACTTGCGACAACACCCGTCGCATCAAGCCGATCAAGATTGCGCCAGGAAGATCAGCGTCCGAGCCGTTGGGTAAGGATGATGTGACCCGATTACGATCTGTAACGGGATCCTTGGCATGGGTGGCAAGGCAGACTAGACCCGATTTGGGTTATCGTGTGAGCCGCCTACAGTCCAGTATTTCTGGAGCGACAGTTGCTATTTTGCACGACGCAAATGCCGTAGTACAGCTGGCACAACAAGGCATTGAGAACAAGCTCGTTTTTCCAGGTGGACATCTAACCTGGGGAGAGGTTGGTATCATTACAGTAACAGATGCTTCATTTTCAAACGAGAAGAACTACAAATCACAACAAGGACGTTTCCATTTTCTTGGAGATCAATGAGATCAAAGACCCCAAGACTACATCCTACAGGGTGATGCCATTGGGATTTGCATCAAATACAATTCGGCGAGTATGCCGCAGCACTCTTCAATGCGAAGCTTATTCACTGCAGGCTGGACAAGAGAGCGGTGACAAGCTACGTGGAGCATTGGCCGAGCTGATGGGCCAACTTGACTCGATGAAAACATGGTTGGATGACAGCCGCAGCTGTATTCCACAACTGATGCTTTCAGACTGCAGGTCTTTAACAGACCATCTTGCGAATGAGGTACTTGGCAGGGTCGCAGACAAACGACTCGGCATTGAGTTGCAGTCGATTCACGAGTCACTTTGGCAAGACGGCCGGAGGACTTGGGATATGCATCATGGCGGAGGAGACATCGTTACCTGGATTGCTACAGGGACTATGGTCTCGGATGCTCTGACCAAGAGCATGCGCCCGGACCTCATTATCCGCGTTTTGAGGGAGTGCATTTACCGTGTACAGAAGAAGCCTTAGAGCCAACTTTTTCACTAGCATCATGTGATCCTTGAAGAACAGGTTGAGTGTGAGTTTGACCTGTCTAATGTATATTTTGTATAGCCAAGTGATCACATGCCCCCGTTGACATTTGGCTTTAGGGCCCTTGAGTCATACCGCGCTGCCGTGGTAAAAGTTGGGCACTAACGATCCCGTTTCCAATTCAGATATATTATATTACACTCTCACTGTTTTGGCCAACCACTACGAACCACTAGATAAGTCCATATTAGTTACCAAGCCACTGCTTTTGAGTTGATTTGACCTGACCAACCAGATGAACACGCTTTCGGGCTGCCGCTCCAGGATGCAGTGCGTCGGCAGGACAGAACCAGCGATTCCGAGAGGCGGCCGTGACCGGGTGGGATGTACATCATAAACCCCCTTCACCGCACCATGCGCCAATTCGGGAGATACCAATCCGGACAAGGTGATTTCGGGATACCAATGAAATCTGGAATATACCAGAAGTAAGGTTGAGTGCAAAACAGCGTGACCAAGGGATACCAATGGAATCAGACCAAGGCAGTGGGCAAGCCTAGGCGAATATCAACTGGTCACGAACTGAGGCCAGAGCGTGCTGAATCCTGGGTCCAGTGCTCAGTTGCACCATCTCATCCTACGAAACAATGTCAATGGAGATTTTGATGGGAAAATCATGGAAAATCACCTATATAATGTTATATAATGTTATATAATGTTATATAATGTTATATAATGTTATATAATATATAAATGGAGGACTTCCAATTGAAGCATATTGAATCAGGGTTCTGCTTGTGGGTGAGGCTGCTGGCCATCCAGAAAAGCGGCCCCATTCTGCTTCTGCAGTGCCCCGCAAACCGAGTCTCGTGAGGGCCTTAGCCCACTTGCCAGGGGAGTTGGGGGTTGGTGGGGCAGGGCTTCCCTATAAAAATCCATACGCAAATTGGCTGCAAGTGGCCATTTTACCAGGTGCATCCAGGTGCACCCATTGAAAATCCAAATTCCATTGTTTGGTTTGGGGAGATCATGGAGTTGATTTATCACCTATAATTAGCCTAGATAACCTCACTGCCTTTCAAAGCGGAGTAAATCACATCGTCACACCAAGGGCTCCTCGCCGACCTCAGCAATAAAACGCAGCCGTTCAGAGCCGTCGCATATCTTGCAGCAGATGTTGCAGACCAATGCACAGAGCCTCAGGTGCGGAGGGCTGGACTCTGCTGGCGTACCATGAGTAACATGAGATTGAAAACTATATGATCCCGAGGAGAACTGGAAGTTTGTTGGAAGTATATGCTGTACACACACACACATATATATATACAGTACACAGTACACATATTATGCACGTAGTAGGACGCCTAGCATAAATCTTTGGGCATGGGTCCTTTGCTGAGCAAATGCTGCTGCCAAGACCATGGCATCCTGGCTGGTATGGCCAGAAGCTTGTCCACCCAAAGTGGTAAAGTCCCCCACTCATCGTTGTGTCTGCCAGGGGTATGCTGGATGAGCAGCGCGGCCTGCATTTGGAGAAAGCTATTGCAATTGGCAGCGGTTTGGGCCAGTTTGTGTTGAGGGGAAGAAATACCCATGAACGAATTGCATTTAGAGGACACGGAAACACCTACGCCCACTTGAAAACTAATATGGACCCCCCAATGTGGCAAGTTCCCAACAGGAGAAGCACCTTCCAACCGCATATTGGTAACCTGGTAAACACCAATGAAACACCTAGTGGCTGGGGATTGTTTATTCCACTCGTTTCTGGTAAACTTAGGGATGCCACGATGATTGATGTTAGTACATGTTAGTACCAGAAAACATCCTTAAAAGCTATTGTCATTTACTCTTGCAGTAGTGCTTCTTTATTTGTTTTCTCAGGTGTTCTTGCTATGCCAAAAACATCTGCCAGATGACCTCCCAGTTTTCACCGCCCTCACTGTCCAGCGCCATTCACCAGGCCCTTGTTCCACCACAATCTGCGGCTTCCCGTGTCGCCCGCTCGACCGGCGGAGCTTGCAAACCTGCCAGGTGAGAGAACCCACGAATTTTTCACTGCATTTTCCAGGATTTTCCACTATTTTCCAGCATTTTGAGGCATGCTAGCATCTATTTTCATGTTCATCCATTTTAATATCCACGTTCAATCTCAAGGCGGTGCTTCCAACAAGTCATCCATGTCCATCTGGCCCAGCTTCAAGCTGACATCGTGCAGGCATGGTGTCGCCGTCCACAACGCTGCATTCTCCAAGTGCCGGAAGCCACAGGGCGGTTCAAAACTTGAGACGCAGGAAGTGGTGCCCCAAGCTGGTTTGTAATTCCACCAACTGAGATATCATGGCTGGCTGGTGGTTTCAAACATTTTTTATGTTCCATAATGCTGTATATGGGATAATCCTTCCCATTGACTAATATTTGTCAGAGGGGTTGAAACCACCAACCAGTTGGGGATTAAACCGAAAAATCGGGGATTGTTATGGATTGACCGTTTGAAATGATGCAAAAATTGATACATGATAGCCTTTGTGGTACATCGGAATTAGTTAATGGATGTTAATGGGGTTGTGAACCAATGTTTATTTTTTAAAAAAATGTGTGGTAGCAGGTAGCAAGATATAGCATTTTGGGGCACCCCAAGTTGACCCCCAAATGGAACATGGTCAATCCATCATGGTCAATCTCACCAAACCTTGGGTCACAAAAATCGACGGGTCAGACCTGAGGTTGGTGAAGATTTATACTCCCAAAAAACCCCATGGACTGGATTAGTTTGGATTCTTTTTTTGGGATACCCTAGGGTATACTAACGGGTAACATAGATGAGGAAAACCCATGCTTTCCCTATGAACATATTCTACATTACTGGAGGGTACTGTATCCAATCTTTGAGTGTGTCGCAATATTCCATATGAATCATCCTAGTGAAAGCCTCCAACGACTTACCACCTCCAAATATTTTGTGGAACCTTTGGCAATATTAGTCCAGTTCAACATCGGTTAGCCTCGGGTAAGCTGACATAGATGTGGAAGACCGGAAAACCCACCATTTGTAGATCATTTTCCTAATGCATCTATTGTATGGTGGGTTTCCCTCATACATCTATTGTATGGTAGAAACATGTAGAAACCCAGCAATTAAACCATCATTTTCCTCAAGAACCATGGGGTTTCTACCTTAGGGTTTCTACTCCCATGTCTGGGTGGATTCCGCATGATTTCATACCTGTTTTGAGGCCCCCAAACCGTTGTTGCCGTTGTTGGCGCACATGACTTGGCGAATTGCAAAAACATGTTAATTTTCGGATTTATGGGGATATGAGAGATATAACATGATGTAACATTGTAACATGACTTCTAGTAAACTAGCAACGCTATTGAAAATGGCCATGGAAATAGTTGGTCTACCCATAAACCAAAAAGAAAGGCGATTTTCCATCGTTTTTTGCTACTCCCTGGCCCCGAGGTGACGCCAAGGTGCCACGACTTCGCGCAGCTTTCTGAGATCGTCTCTGAAATCGTGCCAAGGTTCGGGGATGGACATGAATGCGATGAATGGATCTCCAGGGATAGATACAGAATCACCGTAATGATGGAGAATAAGGATGATTATCCATACATTAATGATGATTATTATGGATCATAAGTAATATAATATAATTATATAATATATCTATTTTTAATTCCGTAATGATGATTATGGATGATTATTGTCAACGATGGAGAATTATGATGATAATATTATTAAAGGACAATTAGCATGAATGTATATTATTGTCATAATATTATAATGATTGAGAATTATGATCATCATAGTATGATCTTTATTATGATTATTGCCAATTAGATAATATTAATGGACAATTATTATAATGAATGTATAGACAATAAGAACATTAAAGGTCAATTATGATGATTTTTATTCCTATGATTTTTCTGTGTGCATATCATTTTACATGCATATGCACACGGATTATGAATATATATATATATGTATGTATGTATGTATGTGTGTGCAACTGTAGCCGACATATGGTTTGACACAGAGCTGGTTTGGACATCTCACTTTTTTATGGGACAAAAATCTTCAAAACATGGCTCGACCTGGGTAATTTGTCGTTTGGCCAGTTTTATTTACAGGGTGTCCTCATCTTGATGGTTGAAACCCTCTATTGATCCATGTTTTGTGGGTAAAAATCCAACATCTTATCAATGAGAATTTCAGGAACCTAAATTTCGAGGTACCTACCATATATAAGGCCTATATAAGGCCTAAATTTCAGGGAATATCCCCATTGATCTTAGGGGTTTCCTTTTTCAAAATGCTCCATGCTTCGTCGTCCGACGGATCTTCACCTTTGCGAGTCCAAGGGCCCACATGGCGGGAAAAAGCAGCCCGCGTCCACCTTCCTCCAGGCAGAGTCCGGTTTAGAGGCTGCGGTTTAAACCTTCGAAATTCCAGGTGGAATCATAAGATGATAGACCCATTGCTATAGGCTATATAATATATCATCCTGTATCGTCTATATCCAAGCTGGGAACATCATTTTCCAGATTCCAGACCCCATTTCTTGATTTAGGGGCTCCAGGATGTTCCAGGTGGCTCATGAGCAATGCACCCATTTTTTAGATGCAAAAACATGGTGCATCATTTTTTAATGAACGTGTTTGAAATTGTTCGAATACATGATTCCCTTTGACTCAGCTTTGCTGCGGACGTCATGTTACAACAAATGCAGTAACCAGCAACATCTCCGTGAATTTGTTGTGCATTTGGGACAACAAAAAAAACAATTGAATCGTCAATTGTGCACCTGAGAGTCTTTTTTGGGCCGTCCTGCCCCCTCGCCAATCACGCAATGTGGTTTCAAATTGAAACAAATTCAGAAAAGTTCTGGGCCCAAAATAAGGCACCCCCTCTTCAGATTGCATGCTGACACTAAAAATTAGTGGCAGGTTATGAAGGGTCTCTGACATAGCCCCACCATTCTTTACCCCTAAACGTGAGATGGAACCCAAAAACGTTTGTTTCGGCAGTGTCTCTCCAGCCCGCATGCCCCTCAATGGAACAGAAATTCTTAATAACCAGCTAATAAGAAAACATATGTCCATGGTTGTTTGCGCTCTTGTCTCCAGTGCGGGCGCTCCAAAATGACACAGAAGACGCTATTAACCTGCTATTAACTTTTGGTGTCACCATGAAATCTGAGGGCGGCGCATCATGGGGGGGTGCACAGCACCCCCATGATTTTGTTCAGCTATAATTTGAATTTATTTCATCATTTCATCATATTTCATTCCTAAAAAACCCAACCATTCCCGCTGATTTTTTAAAAACCACATCTTGAGATGATTCTCATTGATTATAACCGATGTATTTCAACAATAGTAGCAGTAATCGACATTAAAAGTACGTATGTTGGTTAGTATTGATTACATAGTCACTATCATCCATTATCGGCTATTGTTATAATCAACAATATCATAACCAATAATATCATGATTACCACCGCTATACCCTCTTGTAATTTTAACATAGCTAGGAAATCATCTAGAAATTGGCAATTTCCAAGACTTTTTTTTTTTGGCGTATGAGAGGGTATAGCCATCAATAACCATTGATCACCCATAATTATCAGTTTAAACCAGTAATATCCATCAACCACCATTATTCACCATTGTCATTCTCCCATCATACCTATGAATTGGCATTATTGTCACCATTATGGGAATATATATATATAATATATATATATATCAACATTACATACCATTACTTACAATATACTAGTATATACAAACGACATACTATATACTATTTAACCATTACTATTTACTATATGATGCTATATACCATTATAGCCACCACTATCAGAATAAGATCATAAGCACTATGCTTACCACTATATAGTACTAATACAAGCAAACATGCGACATGGCAGGTCGGGAACCTCCCGCAGCCACTCGCGGCCGTGCGTCTCGCGCTTCGGGGCCGAGTCGCCCGTGGCCTGGCATATGCCCTTAGGGATGGATCCCCCAATAGCTGGATGGTTTAGAAGGGAACTTCCTATTAAGGTGGATGATAAAATGCCTCCGTACCCCCATGACTTGGGAAAAATGGATGATGAAATGGGGTAATTACCGCAATTTTGGGAATGGATGATGAAATGTTATTAATTATCCCAGTTTTGGGAAAACTTTGATGTTATCCCCGGATAACATCCATTAATAACCCCCCATTTTTTTCAAGGTTTTGAATCGAATCGATCAGATGATAGGACACTTCAGGGGGTTCAAATCATCCCCAAATGGGAGTTGTTTAAGGCATTGCCCACATTATTGATCATTGATCCATGAGCAGTTATTCATTCAATATCCTTAATTATTCATGTGATGAATACTGTATGTTTTTTCTTTGTGGTTCATACTCCACAACTATCATGAACAAAACACGGGAGATATGCCAACAGGTCAAACAGATCAAGAAATACATGCATAGCATTACAGTATAGAAAAATAAAGAAGTAAAATAATCAAAACACACACACACACACGATTAAAAAACACATGCAGAGGCACAAACATGCGCAATGAACTTTTCCATCATCGTGTGCCAATTGATGAGTTTATCTTGATCAAGCAGGCAGGTCATTTATATAAATCGTTCAACATAGACCCCTATACCTGATGAAACTGTTGCCACCGGCGAATCGCCAAGGGATTCACTCCTCGAACTCAGCGAGAGGGTACGCCAGAATCGCTGAGACCCTTCAGGCTCGGCACCGAACCAGTTTTGTGGTCGAACCAGTTCTAGGTATATATACTGTATATAGGTATATTATGTATATGAAACATTATGAAACTACTTGAAACTATAAGATGTGTATCATCCTCCCAGACGCTTCGAACTTCCCACTTCCTTCCACCAGTGTTTCCCGAACAGGCAACCATCAGACGCAACTGGAGAAACGAAGCACGGAAACTTCGTGCCTTGGCAGTGTGACAAAAGCTGGTGCCAGGAAACTTGAGAATTAAACCTAATTACAGTCGCTGGTTTTGAGTTGTAAGTTGGTGTATAAACCCCATGAAGGGTGGATGTGTATCCACTATAAGGGAGTTATCAATTCTCAATTAACCCATTGTTTTGGGGCCCCGCCTTGTACAAAGCATATCAGAAACTATGATTTACGCAGATCTAAGGCGCAAGAAATAATAGAGAATTCGAGTGATTTTTTCCCCTTAGGGAATGAACACCGGCTCACCGTATCAAGGGGTGTTTTTGAAAAGATACTTTACAGTCGAAAAAGGCCTTGGCGGTTGGTAATCATACATGCCTCCAAGAGATGATCTCACGATTTGCGACCAGCGACCAATGAAAATTTACCAAGCTGGCTGCGTTAACACAGACAACAGTGTGACCACAGGACCGCATTGCTGTTTAGGTCAGACCCACATTTTGTCACTTCTTGTGCGAACTTTAAATCATGTTCTTCACCCCCTGAAAAAGAATCCTAAAATCGTCAGAAGGTAACCCAAAAATGATCCGCTCTGATCTAGGCGGAGGCTGTGGCCGAGTTGCGCGCGGAAACGGGATGGAGGTCGAGGCAGGTGAGCCATAGTGAGCCCGTGGGGTTGGCATTATTGTTATTGGGACAGAACGGAAAAAGGTCCGGAAAACTCTGGAAAAGATTGGGAACCAACTCCGAGAAATGCATGACACAGTCTAAAGGTTTCCTAAAATACGGGTACCCGGGTACCCCTAAATCATTCATTTTATTAGGATTTCCCACTATGAACCATCCAGCTATTGGGGTACCCAAGTCTTGGTGGTTTTCGTGACTTGAGGCCACAGTCAGCGGAAGACTCCAAACCAGGCCAGGCTGCCAGTCTACAGTATTTCAATGTATTTCACCCATTTCTTGTGGCGGTTGTGACATATTTGGAAGATCAGGACAACAAGCAGTTGAAGATCATTTTAAATCATTTTCGTTTTCAGGTGATTGGGTGGGTGATGTTTCTATATACCCTCTGGTAATTTAACATAGCTATGGAAAATCACCATTTTTAATGGGAAAATCCACTATTAATGGCCATTTTCAATAGCTACGTTAAATTACCAGCGGGTATATAGAAACATATTATAGAAAGGTGATGGCAGTCCTATGGCTGGGTAATGGGTGATGTTTCTAACCCGGACAGCTACCGGAGTCGGCCATAGATGGCCCCTGTGTAGGTGAGCGACCTGCCACTCACACCGGGCTGCGGGGCATCTTTAACCCAAGGGAAAAGGAAGAGGAGCCACAGGTGTTGGGGTCTGAGCGTGGCGAGGTTCATGAAAAAGCTGGTGGACTGGTGAAGTTGATGGCTCTAAATCCATTACCCTCTGGTAAATTAACATAACTATGGAAAATCACCATTTTTCATGGGTAAATCAACTGTAAATTTCATTTTCAATAGCTATTTTGACATAACCAGAGGGTAAAGAAATCCACTGATCTTGGTGATGTGGATTTGGTGCTCCGAGGCGACGGCGCGCCATGCCGGCGGTGAAGCCGAGGCAAGAGATAAGAGATACAGACGTCATGAATCTTGTAGTGTAGTTAACACCGGATATTTATTTATGATATATGTATATATATATAGAAGATATGGATTATTTATTATGGATTATTTATTTGTTAATATGGATTATTTATTATATATAATATATATAGGGAGAGAGAGAGAGCATTAGAGTCCTATAATATCTTATGCATATATATATATATATGTACATATATAGTGGCAACATGTGACATGTGGATAACTAGAGCAACCGTATTTGTCTGGGCCAATTGAATTGCAAAAGTAGTATTCGGGGGTAAGCAGGTTTTTCCCAGGGCCCATCGGTAGGTGCAGAACAATATACGAAGGATTCCAAAAAGGAGGTAGGGATTCTTCACACAATGTCTGAAAAGGTGCCATCGTGACATTGTTGGAAACGAGTTCAGCACCAGAAACTTTTTTCCTGGGAAGTCATTTTTGCCAGATGCAAAGGATGTAGGGGGAACTCCTTCAATCTTCTTTACGCCCCGTATGTACCAAATAAAAAGCCTGATGGGAAACATGTTCAACAAAGCACCCACGAAGTACGTAAATGTAGGTGGGAAAAATATACAAGCACCATGGATGGCCGGAGTTTGCCGTGCCTTTGCAACTTGCAGTTGCGGCACGTTTCTGGCAGGTCGTGCACCAACAGTCCGCAACAACTTCCGGAACGAGCCACGAAAGCCTGACTTGTTTATGCTTCCCAATCATAAATATCCATAAATGGGGAAGGTTACCGGTCACCCACTCGAAATTGGGATTGAACTAGGAAAAGTGCAAATATGACCAGTATATTGACAGTATATTCCAGTTTGGATGGTTTGGATCCGAGCAAAGCTGCAAGCATAGAATGTTGTTCAATATGGCATCCACCGGCATCCCAAGGGACAAGTTATATGACATATTGACATATTTAAATATATTTAATACGTGTTTTTCATAAACATTTTACATATTAGTATAGAGATATACAGACAGATCATAATAGGTTTATACATGATGGTTTCACACATGACTATATTGTCTAGTGGTTATCATTTGCTATCATCTATGATCATCTATTCTAATCTAGCACTAATATTTTCTCATTTGTTACCAGTTATTATCATATATTATCATTTGTTATGATCTTTCATCATCTCTTATCATCTCTTATAATCTCTTATTATTTCTTATCATTTATTATCATCTTTTGTCATCTATTATCATCTATTATCATCTATTGTGATTTATTATCATTATTTATCATCTATTATCATCTATCATCATCCATTATCATCCATTATCATATTAAATTATTATTTCATCTATTATTATCTATTATCATCTATTATCATATATTCTATTCTATTCTTATCTATTCTCATCTCTTATCATCTATTATGATATGTAATCATCTTTTATCATCTCTTATCATCTTTTATCATCTCTTATCATCTCTTGTCATCTCCTATAATCTCTTCTCATCTATTATCATTTGTTATTATCTATTATCATCTATTATCATCTCTTATCATCTTTTATCATCTCTTATCATCTAGTATCATCTCCTATCATCTAGTATCATCTATTATCATCTCTTATCATCTATTATCATCCATTATCATTTGTTATCATCTATTATCATCTATTATCATCTCTTATCATCTATTATCATCTATTATCATTTGTTATCATCTATTATCATCTATTATCATCTCTTATCATCTTTTATCATCTATTATCATCTCTTATCATCTCTTATCATCTCTCATCATCTATTAAAATTATTAGGTCTAATCTAATATATGTCTTCATTATGGAGGCTTTGGACCTGACCGTCCAACGGGCCGACGTTGGCCGCCAGGCCCCGGATTACCTTTCCACGGCCCCATCCCCGAGTGGCCGCCTCGCTACTGCCAACGGTTCGGCCCAAGTCAGCGCCTGGGAGCTTAGACCGCGGATGGTGAGGAAAGATGGGATACCCTCTGGTAATTTAACATAGCTATTGAAAATGGCCATAGAAATAGTGGATTTTCCCATTAAAAATGGTGTTTTTCCATAGCTATGTTAGTTTACCAGAGGGTAACCATAGGAAAAGCCACAGGAAAAGCCATAGGAAGATGGTTGGTGACTCTCTGGTACAGTTTGTGTGGAATGATTTTCCATCTTGAAGTTCGGTGAATCAACTATTTCTATGGGTCATGTTCAAAAGCTATGTCACAAATTACCGAAGGGTATGGGGAATCAAGGGTCAATCAATGCTTAATCATACCAGTATTCACCAACATCAGTGGATGATTATGATGATTCATGGGGAATTGATGGATCATTGGAACAATTTGCTAAACCCAATGCCATAAAGCTACTATTCGGGGATGGTTTATACCAATTATGGTGATTATATCCAATAATCAACCTATTATTTGGGAATGGTTTTATACAACCCATAGAAATGATGATTTTGGGATTGTTTTTTGGCATTGGGTTTACCACATGGCCACATTAACTAACAATCATGTGGCACCACCGAGGGTCGCAGGGTGTCGGCCCAGGCGACCTCCACCCTTGGTGCCATTCATGAGCACCTCGCCCATGCGGCCGCAGTCCTGTGACCCCTGAGGCGTGTCGGTCAATGTTAGCATTTTTTGGGGGGGTGTAGTACTGGTAGTGCCCAAAAAACACATATCCATATTATTACAATAATATTAATTTAATGTTAATCATGATATATTTATTGATATTATGATATATTATGTGTATATATATATATATATATGCATATAGTCACTATAGTCAGTCAGTCCCAAGGTTTTTGAGACTTGGTGAGTTGATCAAGAGTTCGCGGCTCTTTCAGGATGCAATGGAGGAAAACAGGTCCTGAAAACATGGGGGCATCCCCCAGAAAATCAAGGCACACGAGTACTTAAAGTCATCAGATGTCATCAGAAACTGCGGATTGTCCTCGTGGAGTCATGACATTTGATGATTTTTGCGTCCATTTCTGGCCCAAGCTTCACAATTTCACATGTGCATGTTTTTTTTCGCCAGTGATGACGGAACGCTGGCGCGAGCTTTTGGCGCAATTGAGCCACGAGTTGGACCTGCAGGCAGCAAGACTCAAAGATTTGGAGCTTCAGAACCGTCAACTGCTGGATCCTTGATCAAAACATGGAGGTTGCAGGTGAAAGGATTAAACCTGCCGAAAAGTTGGTTAAACAGTTATCCAACTTCCACAGGTAGAGGGCTTGGAGGCGCAAACGCAGGTTTTTTGCATTGGGCGGTTTTGGTCTAAAAAAATCTTGCCACCGTCATTGTCTTCTTTGAAGCAAAAGATGACCATGGTGGATGTTGAAAAGACTCAAAATGTCAGATGTCAGCCAATTCCAGCGGTTTTCTTTCCACATCCAGCACAAAAAGGCGGGTTCTGGCTTACTTATTTGCAAAATTGCAAGTCTTGCTCCAGCCATTGCCACTTTTCATCCGTTTTCACCAGTTTTCACCAGTTTTCATCCGTTTTCATCCGTTTTCACCATGTTTCATGATCATTCAGCGCCTTTCCATCTCCACCTGTTGGTGCCGCTGAGGCCTCCCAGGCGCCGGTGGCGGCCCTGGAACCGCCCAGCCCGGAACCCTTGCGACGTCGCCGACTCTCCTCCAGCGCCGACTTCTTCGACGATGCCGCGGAGGATCTGCTGCAGAAGAACTGCCAGGAGCGTGGGGGACGGGTCTCGCGGGTCTCGGTCACGGAGCCAGTGCCTTGGTGGAGGGAATGGTGGGGGAATGGTGGATGGATGATGAATTGGACCTGGAAAAAGGGGGACATAATAAAAAAAGACTCAGCTACTCTAGTGCAGTAATTATGGAACATAAAACACAGATCTGCGGGTGAATGACGTGTCCCAAGCACAGCAGTTTTGTTTGGTACAAAACCATAGGATTTTTGGCAGTATCGAAATTTGGATGAGGTTTCAAAACTCAATTTGATGTCTCACCATTGGAGGATGTACCCCAGGAAAGATTCTGAAAGATCAACCCATTTGACCCATACCTTTCCAGCCTTTACCAAGGATCCCTTGGTTCCCGTGGCCCCATCCTTGTTGCGGCCCAATCGACCGAGCCAAGTATCAGTGGCCTCCTTAGTCGATGCATCCAAACTCCTTGGCAAGGAAAAGATGCACTTGTCGGTGCCTGGGATGCAGGGCCGATTCCATCAACCCTTTAGGGTTAAACCAACCATTTTATGGGGAGGTCATAAGAATGGGATATTATAACTGATAATACTGAGCATTGTTTTACTATAACCAGCCATGCTATATTGGATCATTTTGGGAAAACCTGACGAAGATGAGAATTTTGATGCTGATCATGATGCATTGGCTGCATTGACCAGTAAATTCTAATGGTACCCCAGTGACAGACACATGCCATCGCACTAAAAACTAGACGCGCCAAAGAACTCCTACGGTTGGATGCACCTGATCCATGACGAGTTTAGCAGAGGCCGTGAGTTTCACGCTACCAAAGGGCTTGATGGCAAACGCCCAACGTTAAAATTATCAAAAATTGCTCAGTGCATTTAAACAAACACCAACAAAGTACATCAAAGTACAAAAAGGGATGTCCAATCAAACCCACATAGTCCTCCACATTCATTTTCTCCCGAACCCCAGTCCAAAACCATCCAATTTCCAACGATGATTCTGATGCCCAATGCCAATCTCAAACCTCACATAGTCACATAGTCAACTTTTGATTGCTGAGCAATATCCGGTTGAAACTCATTTGTTGGTTAAATCCCCCTTCGTACTGGGTGCATGCAAATCTCCCATTCTTTATAGGTTAAAAATCCCAGCCCTGGTGGTGCCACAGCGTCTTCCGTAAGGTCTTGAGAGCAAAGACAGTGGAGTTTGCAGTTTCTTGGTCTTGCGAAACCCATCAAATGGTAAGATGACTCTACCCTTGGGATTTCAGCAATCCTGGTCGCAATGCGACCACGGATGTGACAGCGGGTAAACTGAATTCACAGAAAACCGAAAGATATAGCCTGGCCAGCAAAGGTTCAATCTTGAACATTATGGCTTAAAAATATCAGTGATCATGGCTGGTGATACCATTCACTGGTGACTATATCTCATCAGTTAGCACCGTATTAAATGGTTGGTGGCTGGCGATTTTGTCAGTGGCTCGTACGGTCGACCGTACGTAGATGTGGGGCTCCCAGGATTGCTCTCAGGATGGCTTCAGGTGTGTGTGTGTGTGTGCGTAAATAAATAAACGAATCATAGAGAATATATATATATAAGAATTATTTTCTATTATGCATATATACATACACACACACATATATATATATATGTACTCACCATTCGTAGATTATGATATCATCAATTATCATCATAGTTTATTAGCATATTATATTATCACATGCATTCACATGTCAATGTCCATGTTCTATCCCGATCCATGTCAAAAATTCGACAGCCGACGCCTGATGACCGCTGAAAACCCCCGAGGTGCAGAAGTATTGGTGGATCATCAACCCGGACAGCAACCGTTTCTCGCACCTGTGGCAAGTGGTCACCAACTTTGCCTTGGCCTTCGTGGCTTTGGTGACGCCCCTACAAGTGGGGCTCCTGGAGATTCGCGGCTCGGAGTTCAGCTGACAAAAATGCGGCATTTCTTTGGGATATAGGGCAACTTTTACCAACATGGGAATTCCCAGGATTACCCTCTGGTGAACTAACATAGCAATGGAAAATGGCTATTTATAGTGGATTTTCCCATTAAGAATGGTGATTTTCAATAGCTATGTTAAATTACCAGAGGGTAAGTGGATAAATGATGATTGCTGCGTATGGCTCATTTATAGATATACAAAGATCGAGTTTCAGCAGCGCATGTGGATTTTCAAACCCAACAAAAATAGGGACGATAATTTACGAACTGCGGGGTTTGAAAAATGCACAATCTCTGCAGGATTTGAAGCAATAGAAGGCACAGCCTGTTGAAAGTGGTCTGGGTCCATTCCAAGCCAAAATGTGGCAAAACCCAACAGTAAACAACTAGGGTTGGTTGATACAATATCATACAATCAGTGTGGTGAAATTAGGGACGGTTGATTTATTCACTTACTTTTGTTTACCACATGAACTTGCTATTCACATCACTCACATCCATTCAGTTCCGTTCAGTCATCCTGGCAACATATACTTTTGGGCCGTGACTATGTATATATATATATATCTATTCAAACACATCCTTAAGCCAATAGCATGGTTTTCCTATATATTTAAGTTGTTAAATTAACTACTAGCCTTTTTTTTAAATATATATATATATATTAAAGTCATTGTTTCCCATGTCCCACCTGAGCAGGTTTGAGCATAAGGAACTAAATCTCCGGGATTTGACCCATTCCATCCTCTGATTCCCCATTTTCCCCATGAAAACGGCAAATTTTAAGGTGCATGTTTATGCTTATCAATGTTTAGACACACCCAAATATGTGATTAATAATATAAAATAATATAAATATAAATATATATATATGTGATCAATACATATACATATACATATATATATATGTGCATATCCCATTACATTCCCATGATGTTCCCATTATGAATCACCAGATGATTTTCACGTGGGTTCCATGGCCTTTAGGTTGGGACGCTCTTTTTGTCATCACCTGGTGTGTGGACATCATCTTCATGATCGACATGGTGCTCCAATTCGTGACCATGTACCCCAAAACCACTGCAAGAGGTCTGGAGTTGGAATCTCGACCCTGGAAAATCGCGAAACATTATGTGATGACCTGGTTTTTCTTGGTGTCTCGGCAGTTTTTTGCACCTTTTGGGTGATGGTGTTGTTCTCACAAAGTTGCGCATGGCCATTTGGGACTCCAGCAGTTGAGTTTTGGGGCTGTGGCCATTTGTGGCCATTCTGATTGGACGGGCCAGGGAATTGGCTTCTGCTTGAGATACCCGTAGCCTGCAGAGAGGTTTGTATCTTTTTTTTGTTGTGAAATCGGAGGCCAAATTCTTATGGTTGTCGAATCAAATTCACGATTACTACGTTGTATAGTGTGAGTTATGTAGATGATACATATCATGTATTATATTATATTATATTATATATTATATTATATATATGTAAATTATATATACATAAAATTATAGTATAATCATATCAGTTATCTCAGCATGGATATCATTAGACCATCCAGGATTTCTTGACCTTGATCCCTTTGGACACCATCGGCCTTCTCAGCGGAAAAGATCGCTTGAAGGACCTTCGAAGCATCAAGGCTTGGAGAGATTTCATGGTTGGAATAGGATGAAATTGGTATACTCTCTGGTAATTTAACATAGCTATTGAAAATGACCATTTATAGTGGATTTTCCCATTAAAAATGGTGATTTTCCATTGTTATGTTAGTTTACCAGAGGGTATGTCATTGTTGGGCGGGTGAAACTTGGGTCCCAAAAACGAGATGCGAAGTACAGCTTCAGACTGAAAGCTGTGTAATTTGTGGCGGACATTTTGAGGACAACTGTTGGCCAAACTCATGGTTGACGGAGATGTTCCCCTCTATGGTTGGGTAATGTCTGCTGGGTGCATTTCACGACGTCCCCAAAATCACGAACATTTCCAAAGCGAATGTTTCCAAGAAATGGTTGGAGGGATATTCTTGCAGGAGAAACCAATCTGTGGAGTAAAAACCTGTGCTTCCTATTGTTTCGTTCAATCGATGATTACCCATAGTTTCTTATCTATGATTGGGATTGCTTACGAGCAAACTAGCATGGATATTGAAGAACCATGAGGAAGCTTAAGGAAATGAATTACATTTCCTCAAATCCAGTGTATGTGTGGAGTACTGTTGGTTCATACCTGCCCGGCAAAATTATTAACTACCATGACCATCACCGATATATTGGTATGATACCTGTGTCAAAACCTAGTTTACCTTCCCTGACAACGTATCCAATGGTTGGAGTCTGTTGGAGTATTGATGAATTCTTGATGGTTATTCCCATGAAAATTACCATAAATGAATGTTACCCGACAAAATGAACCCAGAAAATGTAGGGATCCGCTGGAGTTGCGTTTTTTAATCCCCGGAGGTGATTCGGGTGCTGCGTTTGTTGAAGTTGATGCGCTTGCTGAGAAGCTCCAAATTGACCCACCGAGTTCTGGCCGAATGACTTTCAAGCGGTTGCTGCTGTTGCCGGTTGCCGAATATACTTTGGGGTGGTTCATAGATGAATGCATGGCATAGCCAATTAGCCAAGTAAGCAAACAAATACGAGCACATAGAATAGATACTGTAAAGCACATGATGCACATGTTTACAGAACTCACGTTTTTTCAGAAGGCAGCAACGAGTCACTGTCGTGATGACACCTCAGGAGTGGAAATTCCAGTGTCCATCCCATATCAGCACATCGCTCTGCTGCGCTTCTTGTTGGTTTTGATTTTAGCTTGCCATTGGCTGGCCTGCAGCCTGGATTTGCAAAAGGTGTTTTTTTAATGCTTATTTCCCGCAACTGGAAGCCCACCTGGGGAAGCTCTTTATATAGAAATTACTTAGCACATAGCACGTGGTTACCACTTGTACCTCTCCAGCAGGATGTCTACAGGATGTCTAGGCTTAGCCGACCCATTCTTGGGGTTCTATAATGAAGCTGTTTAATAAGAAAGCAGGACGCAACACACATCATCTCCCCATCATCTCCCCATGATATCCCCATATTTATTGGTGAAATATACCATCCTTCTTTTCAGGAGCTTAGGGCGTTGCATGGCGTAGCGATGCCCAGGCGTTTGGGCCATGACACTGAAGCTGGTGGATGAGAAGTACCCGCAGTGGATCAACGAAATCGAAGCCGCTGATTTGCCCTTTGGGATCCTGAGATTTGCTGAGTCGATGGAAGTTTTTTGAGGTATTTTGGGGTCAGGACATCCCAATGGGACATCCCAATGGGACATCCATGGGACATCCAGGAAGATATGGGGCATAGGGAAGATGGGCGAGCTGATGGGCTTTGATGGGGTTTTACGGTCGTGTCATTTCATGAGCGAATCCAGTTTTGGATGCCAAAATCCAAGGATTCGCACACGTGATTCGCCCATCCGTGACGTGGATCCAGTTTTGATGGTGAATCCATTGACAGCTTGTGACAGGACAACACAGTGGCTGTGACCCCAGGACAGGGGGACATTTAAGAGTATGTTGGTGGATGACGAACACACGCATATTAGTATATGTATTTATAATATAACATAATACATAATTATACATATATATATATATCAATCCTTCATATATTGGGTGTGTATGTCTGTGTGTGTGTTTGTATGTGTGTGTGTGTTATCATATATCATCCAGTATATGTCGTAAACACTTCGGAAACGGGTGAGTTCCTCCAAAAATAATTGTTTTCGCAGCCAGATGGAACCCTCTGACGTCCATTTTGTCCATTTTTGTCCAACTTCCTTGGTCGGACAAGATGCCTAGGTATCTACATTGCATCCTACTACTTCTGTTGTTATACAATGACATCGGCAGCCTGGCTTTGCTTCAGCTCATTTTCGTAGATTTTTTGGGAATCAGGGAATCTGTTTGTGCACTTAGAGGCCCACCTTGGCCATCCAAGGTGGGCTACGGTGACTTCGGCCCTCGCAACGTCTTGGAACGCATGGTGTGCACCTGGATCGTGTTGACCTCTGGGCTCAGCTGGGCCTATATCCTGGGCGAAGTCTGTGCCATCGTCAGCGAGATGACGGCGGAGAGCCAACGCTTCCGCAAGAAGATGCACCACTTGAATTCGTTGATGGAAGAGCAAGGCTGGGCCGGTTGGGGACTAAATTAAGGTAAACTATTATAGATAAACTGGAGGTTTGATGTTCAAAATCCTAACCATTAAGGTGGCCGGTGGTTTCAATGATGTTCTTGGATTGAGACCGAAACCAGTCAGATTAATTGTACCTGTTTCAGGCTAATGTTTCAGTGGGAAATCTCCAGAGACTTGTGGGTTTGGGATGTTCCAATGATGTTAACGATGAGACTCCGTGTTTTCAGGGCTTCCCACTCCTTTGCGCTGTCGTTTGCGGAGCTTCTTTCTGCAAAATCGACATCAAGCACAGCACCTGACACGTCAAAAACTCTTGGACAATCTGAGCCCTCAACTACATGCCGAAGTTTCTTGAACTCTTTGAGTTGATGATTGTTCAAAAAGGAACCCCATGGTAAATCCACCTAGGGGAATCTAGTGGGAATATTTCATAGTGATGTTTTGTGGAAGCTGGATTTCAACTAAGGTTTGCACAGCTTTGAACCTGCCTTGGATTCAAAAAGTCACCTTCTTTCGTCAATTCATGGGTCTCGTGGAGGTCCTGGAGATGGAGGGTATTCACACCGCCCCCTTCAGAGCTTGCATTGCGGATGTGTCAAGGGAACTGAAAGTGGCAGCATTTGCCCAGCGTGAAATTTTTGATAACGTCCAAGTTCTCTACATTTTATCCAAGGGCCTGATGCTTAGTTGATGCTTAGTTGCCATCACTCGCGTGGAAAAATGACTCACGAATGCGTAATTTTCCGTGGTTTGGTTCAGGTAGACCATTTCAATCTCCTTTACATGGTGACATAGTGGATGCGTTTTTTAATGGAGCAGGAAAAATGCGTAAGAACTAGTTTCCAGTTTGACAAGAACTATATAGTTTCCAGTTTGATAAACAATAAGAGTACGCAGGTTTGTTCATATGTTTGGTTGAATAAGTCTCTTTGGGAAGCCTCAAAATCCCTCGTAAGAAACATCATCGCTTGGGGGTCATCCAAAGCGTTTGGCACTTTTGTGGATGTTGCCGTCACCAGACCCGGCTGGATATTCCTCTTATAGCCCTTCTCTCACCAGGGGGTGAAATCTGATGTTCAAAGCTTTCTCAGTCTGATGTGAAGATCCTAAACTTCCCGCATTGCACGAAACAAGTGATGTGCACTCCTTCGTGTTTTCGCATTGTGCAAGAAAAATCCTAAGGCCTAGTGGCTTTGAACAGCCGTGTAGGGCAGAATGGCGCAGTCTGGGGGGAAGACTTTGTTTTGTCAGACACCTCTCTGATTCGCCCGGTCTCTGGCTTTGCTTTGACCTACATCGAGGCGACCACATCATGGCACAGGGAGGGTTCGGTTATTTAAGGGGTCTGGATAAACCAGTAATGGGTAACTTTTTTTCCTGAATAATATATATATATACATAGCACACAGACACACACACACACATATACTGTATATATATATGGTGATCGATCTAAAGGTCCTTGTAAGGAGCTTTAATTGCGAAAGCCGTGCATGTTATGTTGGAAACCCTCGCGAAAGT